CGTGTTCGATATTGTACGGCCCTCGTGTCGCACTTTCGTCCTGCGAGCGCCGACTTGCCATCTCGCGCTCGCGATTGGCTCGAGCGCCGACTAACGCGGCCTATTTCCTGCACCGTATCGCGTAGATCCTGCGTGCGCCCGATAACGCGTTGCACGACCAGATTGATCTCAACTATCGACCGTGACGCACGCTCTCGCCTGCCACGTCGTTTACGCGAAGGTCTTGTACGCGTACGCTGTCCGAGATACATTCGAACCGTGTTCCGAAGCTAGAGAGTGCACAAAATTAAGTAGAGAGAGGATAACCGGTCCTCTCGGCCGTAACTTCCGCTGGAAGGCTACCACGGAAGAAAACGGAATTTGTGCACGTGCAACGCTGCGTGCCTCAAAACTATACATGGCATATTAAACGGAAACCTTATCGGCCCTTATTTCTTTGACGAAAATGTTAATGGTAATAATTATTTACACTTTCTACAACAAAGATTGCCGGCGTTGCTTGAAGATATCGATCTGGATATAAGACAACGTATGTTCTTTCAACAGGATGGTGCGCCTACGCACTGGAGTAGAAGAGTTAGGAACCATTTAGATCTCACATTCCCAGGTAGACGGATAGGACGCGGTGGACCAGTCATGGTGTCCTAGATCTTCAGACTTGTCAAGTCTAGATTTCTTTTTATGGGGTTATTTGAAAAACGTAGTATATTCAAAAACACCCACAACAAGAGAGAATATGATGGAGCGTATAACTCTTGCCTGCCGTAGCATTCCGAGAAATATACTTTTATCGACAGTTGACAGTTTTGAACGTCGAGTTCAATTATGTGTGGATAATAATGGATAGATATTTGAACACTTATTAAAATCATAATCATTTCACATGAAAACTAGATTCTGATATGAATCGATCGGATCAGTCTCGATCTTGCTTTAATCGGCCGGATCAGTCTCGATCTTGCTTTAATCGGCCGGTTCACTTCCGATTTTGCTTTAGTCGGCCGAATCAGTCTCGATCTTGCTTTAATCGACCGGATCAGTCTCGATCTTGCTTTAATTGGTCGGATCAGTCTCGATCTTGCTTTAATCGGCCGGTTCAGTCCCGATCTTGCTTTAGTCGGCCGGATCAGCCCCGATCTTGCTTTAGTCGGCCGAATCAGTCTCGATCTTGCTTTAATCGGCCGGATCAGTCTCGATCTTGCTTTAATCGGTCGGTTAAGCCCCGATCTTGCTTTAGTCGACCGGATCAGCCCTGATCTTGCTTTAGTCGGCTGTATCAGCCCCGATCTTGCTTTAGTCGGCCGAATCATCCCCGATCTTGCTTTATAACTTAACTAGTACTTACCGACAAGTAACTTAATTATAGTGTTTTGGAAATCTCTCTTGCTTTAGAAAGAATGAAAATATTTTACATATACATATATTTTATAAAGTGGGAAATTGATGTAATTTTTCCCTTCTGTCATAATTCAATATGATTATAGCAAAGAATCAGGAATCTGAATCCTTATCCTTTTGCAATTTTGAGCTCTATATTGCTTTTTCAGGGTACATTAATATTGTGGTTATGGTATGCATATAAAAACGAGCCAATTATTATTCTCTCAGAGGATGTGCTATGACCATTCCAGAATTTTTTTAGTTGGCCATACGAGCATGAGAATGCTATTTCTCTGTTAACATGGCTCGTAATCATCCAATTAGGAATATCAGCAAAAAACTTTATGGGTGCGTTCCCATTCATTTCGTTTCAGTGCAGTATCCAGTGGCCACCATTTTGCTGGATGCTACACTGGAGATGTGTTCCCAAATGACTGGATACTGGCTAGTGACGTCATACATGCATGCAGCCTTGCAAGCTCATAACCTAAAATAATAGTGTTGAAGTATTATTGCTTGTAAAGATTATGAACAGAAATGTTGGTGGGGATTATGAACCGAAACGTCATTGGTGACAGAAACGTCGTACAACATGTTACTTTCTGCATTTAATAATTGTACAAGTACTTTCTTTTCTTGCACAGTAGAACTTGAACATTCCCCGGCCAACGACATTCTGATCTTCTTCTATATATTATTTCTATATATTTAAATTTCTTCTATACATTCAGGCTGCGGTCCACTTGCTTCTTCCAAATGCTCTGAACGTTTCGCTCCAAACGCTACGCTCCGATTGGTCCATTACTATTTCGAATGCTACAATTGCTACGGAAGTGGACCAGATTTGTAGCACTTGTAGCGTCGGTTCCATTGCTCGCAATCTTAACCTATATTTCATTACAAATATTTCCTAGTGGGAATAAATCTGAAAAAAGATCGATCAAGTTTATCATAATGGAAAATTTAATTCCAATTATAATAAATACTTTTAATATGTTTAATGATGTATCTTATACATATGAAGATGTTGAGGAAATCGGGTTATGGATCAGTTATGAAATTACAAAACGAGCAATTAGAAAAAAAACGCCTCGAATTGAAGGTTACGTGGAACGAATAATTCCATCACTTACTGCCTTAGAATTTAAGAGTCATTTCAGGTAAAATTGCAATTTTAATTTGTTTTTATTTCTATGATAATTTAAATTTATATCTATAATAAGAAAGAAAGCTTGAAAACGGCTAGTAGCAATAATAATTCATGTTTTATCTTCAATTTTTATCTTGTTTATTATTAAATTATTGTACAATAGTACAAAAGTTATATGTAGAGTGTTTCCCAGCAAGAAACACAAATGACACAGTGTAATACAGTGAATAATTTTATCTTGATTTAACATTGGTAAACACTAAGGCAAAATGATTCATCTTATATTAGTATTCCAAATTTGCTGCCAGCGTTGGAAATTTATAATTTACGTTATATAAACTATAGAATTTCGGTACTGGCAGTTTTGGAACACAGTCTTTATGTCATCTGTTTCTTGCTGGAAAGCATCTCTAGTTTAAGCATTATATAGATACATTAGATATGATTATTTTATTGGCAATATTAAAAAATTAATATCATCTGATAGTAATCACAATTTCATTAGCGAGACTATTTTCAAGTTTGTAATAATAATAGCATAAATATTCATAAAAATCTTGTTTTCATTACTTTACTATTCTTCATTTTTCAGAATGTATCCAACAACATTCAAATTTCTCTTAGGAGAAGTCGCAGAACAATTGAAAAGGATCACAAATGGTAATGAAATGATTACACCAGAAAAACAACTTTTGATTACTTTATGGCGTATGGCAACACCAGATTCGTATAGGTATAAATTATGATACTTATATTGCTAATATTAATAAATCAACTCAGTCCGTTTAAGTCATAATATTATTTCAGGTCAATACATACTAGATTTGGAATAGGAAAAGCCACATGTATAAGGACAGTACGACGAGTTACTGTAGCGTTATGTAGAATTGCTTCAAGATTCATACAGTGGCCAACAGGAAGAAGACTAGAAGAAATTAAACAAAGTTTCTCTGACGTTAATGGCTTTCCAGGAATTATTGGCGCAATTGATGGCACGTTCATCAATATACCAGCTCCTAAGGAAAATCCTGAAGCATATGTAAACAGGAAAGGTCATCATTCCATTCAAGCCCAGGTATATTGTTTGTTATTTTGAATTCTATTATTGCTTGTAAAGAATTAAATATAATTGTTGTTTTATTATAGGTAGTTTGTGATCATAAGCGTCTTTTCACCCATGTATATGTGGGAAATGTAGGATCCGTGCACGATGCTAGGGTGTTCCGATTGTCAGCCTTGCAAGATTACGTTTCTAACCCAACGAAATTTCCAGATGACAGCCATCTGATAGGAGATGCTGCTTATCCGCTCTTGAAGCAATTAATGGTGCCATATACTGATAATGGTCACCTTACACAGAGACAAAAGAATTATAACTTTTGTCTTTCTTCTTCTCGTATGTATGTGGAAAGAACTATCGGATTACTGAAAGAACGTTGGCGCAGTCTTCTTCATCATTTAGCCATGGGATTGATTGAATACATTCCTTATCATGTTTTAGCGTGTTGTGTGTTACACAATGTATGTTTAATACAAAATGATGACTTTGAAATATTAACATTAAATGATATAGATGATATAGCAGTAGGTCTGCAAGAAATTCAAAGATGCAATAGAGAAGAAGCTGAAGCCAAGAGAAACTTTATATGTGCGACACTTAACATAAGAAATGTATGAAAGTAATATGCGTTTTTTGTAATTATGAAAATATTGAATGATTGTACTAAAAACGGTTAAATTATGAATAAAAGTCATACTGTTCAATCATAAGATTACATTTTATTTAATAATAAACTGCAAAAAATATAAATTAATTTTATTAATTGTATCTATATTAAGGTTAATGTGTATTATTACTCTTTTATAGTGAATGTGAAATAATTTTTACAAGAAAAAATATTGGGGATGCCAGTGTAGGACTTTGTGCAATCATGTTAATATAAATAGTCACAACCTCTTCATAATACAATTAAATAAAATCGTTCAAGAATATAATTACAAATATTTTTTATTCCTTTTTTATTTTCTTAAGATTAAGTAACATTTGTTGATACAAATAAACACAAATAATGAAAAACATTGAATAAATTTGTGAGTTTTTAGATGGATATTGAAGGTAATACTGTTACAAGAACAAAAATATTTTCAAATATCGCTCAAAATACATATAATACCACAACATTTTTTAATTATAAAAAGAAAAATTTTTATCCGTTTCTAACATATTACAAATATATAAATTTATGTTATATTAATACTGCTAAACATTATATATAAAATATATAAAAGAAAAAATACCTTTGTAGTGTAATCAAAACACAACAAATTAATAGGTGTCTCTGAATATAAATAATAAACAAGGTTAAAAAGAAACTTATAAGAGTCGACGCAGTTCAAAGTATGCAATGTAATTTCATAACTATATATATATAAAAGAAAATTTATTATACAATAAAGATATATTCCTTATTATTATGTTTTAGCGTGTTGTGATGTGCGATATTTGACATGAGAAATATATGAAAATAATGTTTTCTCTTATCTTTGGCTTATCATTGGCTTCACTTATTCTAATAAAAATAAATCATTTGTGGTAAAAGAGCACAGCCCACATTAACATCTCACTAAAATTAATTAAACATACTAATGTCAAAGCCAAACTTAAAAAAAAATCACAGTTGGAAATCACCAAGAAAAGTAGATTCGTTGTTATTTGTTGGCAATTTTTTCTAAGATATTTAACATTCGATCTTGTCTTTCCACAGCCTCGTTATGCATTTTTTTCCTTTCTTCTTTATTTTCTTCCATAACTGCGAGTAATTTTTCTAACGCAGTATCTTGAGTTACTTTCTGTCCTGAATTAGAAAGAAGAAAAAATCAATAATTACATATTGTATACAAATATTAAATAGGAAATTTGCAAATCCTTTCTTTTAAATATCAATAATATCTATTTACGTTTTCGAGAACTTTTAGAAGATTGTGGAGATGAAGAGATCTCATTGTAAGTGTTACTACTGATGTTACTGTTGTTGTTTGAAGTAGAACTGGCAGGGGATAATATATTCCTGTTTGAAGAATCTAAAGTTAAAATTGGCGTCACCCATGGTTTTTGTCCAAACATCTCATCCATGATCTATAAAAAAATATAAATCAGAGGTTTGTTGTATAAATTTTATATTTTAAAACTAAAAGATGAAACTATACCCAAGCAGAATAGCAAGTTATGATAATATCAAAATGACATTAAAATGAATCGGAAATGATTGAAAAATGACTTTTAATGATCATTTTGGAGTCATTTTGACATCATTTTGATACTATAGTTGTTCTGCTTGGATAAGGAGCGATGCATTTGCACATCGTGCAATTTTGTGTGTACGTGCTTGCGCGCGCGCACGTGTGTGTGTGTGTGTGTTGTGTAATATACACAAAATTATATACCTCAAAATAAAGCCAAGTCCGCTTATTGTTACCGCTTTTGTTATTATAATCCTTAACATTTTTATATGTTTTCTTTAATCTGTTAATTTTACTTTTACATTGTTGTCCTGTAACGTCGTATGCCCTTTCTTTTAACTTGTTGGATATCATTTCCCAAAATTTCTTTACAGATAATTTTCCTGTATGTAATAAATTTTCATGCCGTTTATATGTTGCTAAAAGTAATCTTGTAGGTTCATCCGCCCATCTAAAGCCATCTGAAATTAAACATTATACATATCTAGGCCTCGTTCTGATATATACATTTGCCAGTATTGAAAATTTATAACTCATGTATACTACATATTTTCAGTATCAGCAGTGTATATTGGAATAAATTCAGTAATATCAAGGAAATAAATAACGCCGTTACTTTTATCGTTCTTTTTTATAATAATTTGATAACAACGTTGCAATTTTTATGTTGATAACGATAACTAACTAAAAGCTAAATGAAAGTCAGTTTTTCGATAAATATTTGTAACTGTTATACGCTATTTATTGAAAAAAAGTAACTTGATACTTATTAAGAATAGTAAATACAGGAATATAACACAGTACTGTCTTAGATTTATAATTATAAATACTATTAAGTTCACGCATATCAACGTCCACATTTATTATCTTCTTTTTTTTTCATTAAGAAAAAGAAAAATAGACATGAATGCTGATACATGTCAAACCAATGCCCATGGACAGCACTAAACGTTCTGTTATGGAACAAGTCAGAATGTATTCTGATCGTAATTATCCGATTATTCTGTAGATTTCTGTTATGTTTTCTAGAGAAAACAGAATAATTCCAATCGGAATCCATTCCAACTTGTTCCTTGATAGATACCCAGGGCTATACATATACATAAGTATATTCATACAATATATACCATAAACTTCATTATCAGACTGTATTTCTTGCTGCACAATATTTTCATTATTTTCTTTCTCTTTTGCGTTTTCTAATAATTGGGTACAATATACTAAATCTAAAAGGAAAGAAACCAAAGTTAATATTATCTTTGTATATAACATTCCTAACCTTTTCTACTTCATGCATATCGACAGCATAGAAAAAACAAAATAAAAATATTTAAAAAATATTTTACCTTTTGAAGCACGAAGATATTCTTCTTCAGTCAGGATATAGATGTTACCTTCATGATCTATAATTTGGTGTTGCATCTTGAAAATCTAAATGAAAGTGAAGGTGATTTCCCGCCAAATATCTTAGAACGCTCCAGCTAACCTACCTCTCGAGGTGAGGCAGTTGGAGCGAAGTGGGAGCGAAAACGATGACGTATTGATGACGTAATCAGGATTGCTGGGAGCGTTCCAAATCGTCAAATGGACCAGTCATGTCAGTGCTACAAATGCTCTGTAGCGTTTGAAGCGCTAAGTGGACCGCAGCCTCAATAATGCTTCAACTGTTCGACACTATTAAGAGTTTTAGGTTATATTTTAGGTTTTACGCTTGCGAGCTGCGAGGCTGCATGTATGTACGACACACTCAACTGTATATACACTGGAATGGGCATCGAGGAAAATTTGTGGCCGCAATTGATCAGCCGCCATTTTGGCTGGGTCAGATGCTTGAGCGAATCAGAAGAGTTCGCGCGCGCGTTGCGATCGATGTACTATCGATGTATGGAAATCTATATGGACATGAATGGTATATAAACAAAAATAATGTCACTTCAATTATTTTTACCAGTAATATGAAATGCCCTTTTTACTTCTCTGCCCTAGAGTCCTATATATAGAGAGAAGCGACATCGAACCCCCACCAGATCGGATCCCAACCATCACTCCCTACGCCACCATGTTCCGACCGCTAAAGTGTCGTAAACATAAACATACTCCAATCTCCAATTCTGTACTTCAATGTGAATAACAAAGATGTAGTGATTCTCTGTGTCATAACTTAGTGGAATGCACGTTCCTTTTGCATTCTGACAAGTGACACAACTGAAGTCGGCGGCCACATAAGCAGCTACATGTAATTAACTACGATCACAATATGGCTGCTTCTTAGGAGGGGATACCCAATCAGAATACATATCAGACTACCAATCAGAAACTCGGACATTAATGTCGCTTCTCTCTATATATGGGACTCTTACTTCTGTCGCATGACTTCGTTTGACGCCTATTAGGGCTGCGTTCGGAAATATCACTCGTTGGTGTGCTCCGGTGATTTCGGTGGAGAAGTAGTGGGGGTTTCGTGTGCCTTTGAGTGTTTCCGAACGCTTCCTTATCACTTTGTGTAAAAATGGACGACGAACGCCGCCGAAGAAATGTTATCGTTGCAACTGGTGTAATAGCTGGTAATAATTTATTACGATCAATTATTGAAAAACATAAGCATGAGGAGGAAAGTGATGACGAATGGATTCAAGAGATCAGTGTGTTCGAAGGCCGAGTTCGTATCCGGAAAGATTTGAAGCTTGTTACGAGAATTAAGGGTTATGTCACTACAACAATACGTGACTACTCAGGAAGGCAATTCAGAGAACATTTTCGAGTGACTAGAACAACGTATAAAAATTTAGAACAATTATTGGCACCTGATTTAGTAAGGTCAGCAGAAATTAAAAGATTTACTTTAGCTGTCCGAACACAGTTACTCGCAGTTTTGTGGCTGCTTGCAACTCCTGATTCATTCAGGTAAGTTCATTTCAAATGGTTGTTCAATTTCACGCAATTTTTGTATTGTATAAAGGAAATATAACGCCTGATTCTTACTTATAGATCTGTGTCCGATCGCTTTGGCATTAGTAAATCATTGTTACATGATTCTATGAGAAGAGTTGTGGCTGCTTTGAATAATTTAGCAGATAGGTTTATTAAATGGCCTATTGATGATCAATTAAATGAAGTCAAACATGGATTTTCAAGAATTGGTTCTCTTCCTGATGTGATCGGGGCAATTGATGGATGTCACATTCCTATTCCAGCACCCACAGTAAATTATTTATATGAATTCATATAAAGCACTTAAAAATATTCTTGCCTATTATCAAATCTTGTATTTTGTACAGGTTCATCCTATCTTCTATAGGACAAGAAAGAAAGAGTGTGCCATATCACTACAGGCAGTGTGTGATGCAAACTTAAAATTCACAGATTGTTTTGTCGGGTTTGCTGGGTCTGTTCATGATGCTAGGATTTTCAGGAACTCTGATCTCTGGTATGCAGTAACAGCAAATGAAAACGCCTTTTTTCCTAACAACGAATTCATTATAGGCGATAAAGCGTATCCGGTACTGCCGTGGTGTTTAACTCCATATATCAACAGAGGCAATTTAACTGAGGTATGACTATATTGACTATATTCTTTGATGTCTGTATAATACGTTGCTTTAACTGAATCTTATTCTTTTGTTTGTAAAGGCATAAAATAATTGTAATATGCATCTATCCAAAATGAGACAGGTTATTGAAAGAGCTTTTGCCCTTCTTAAAGGAAGATTTCGACGGCTAAAATATTTGCACATGAGTTGCGCTGATCTAATACCTTATGTCATCTTGGCATGTTGTAGTCTTCACAATATTTGCCTCGAAGGTTGTGAAGAAGCAGAAGAAGACATAGATAATTTTATATGTGACGGTATAGAACAAGATGCTGATAATAACAATGTGAATGGAGTTATCCCTGATCGATTACCTAACGATGAAAGAGGACTGCTTCGTCGTGATTATTTAACAGCTCTTATAGCACATATTGTACCATAAATAGGCTGCGTGCAGTATCTAAGAGATCAAAAAGATATGTTAAGACGTCTTTTAAATATGCATTATCTAAAAGATGTTTTTAAGATATATTTTTATATATAATAGTATAGTTATATATTATAGTTATATAGTATAGTTATATATAATAGTATATATACTATTATAATATAGTATAGTATAGTATATATACTATATATAATATAGTATAGTATATATTTTTATATATAATAGTGGATATAGTACAGTATTGTAGTACAATATTTATCGACAGAGTACATATATGAATTTAAAAAACTTATAATGTACAAAAGTTTTTCTGAATGTACACATACAGATAAACAATACAAAAAATCCTTTTAAATCCTTTTAATTCTTATAAAATTCTTTTATACAGTAACATTTTACAAACTTTAGCAACAGTATATTATATAAAGTAAGAAAAGGAATGCGATGACATCACAAGATACTTGTATATATTAGCATAAGTCTTTATCACAGTCTTTATGCAGTCTGTATGCAGAATCTGAGCATTGAGCAAAGTTCATTTTTATATTTAAGATTATTAATTATCCTAACATACTGAGAACCGAAGTCATAATAGTATCTTAAGACAATATTTAAGATAATCTTTGAATCGAAACGGGCTACTGCTCATTAATTTTACATCACACAAGTATTCTAAAACATTTATATCAATTTAATTAAATCTATTAATACTTAACTTTAGAATTAATACTGGTCAAAGAAACATTCATAACATTCAATAAACATGAAATAAAATAAATTTAGTTTTTCATTACTTAAAATACTATTTTTCATAAGAAATATTACGATGTTTAACAGTAAAAACCTGTAACAACAAAAATCTTAGAGAAGCTCACAATTTATCGATCAATTTCCCCAACCTCTTTGTACACTTCAATCGCTGCCTTTGATTCAGCTATAGCTTCTTTATGACGTCGCTCCTTAGCTTCCTCTCGAACTTTCACATCGGCAAGAAGAGCAGCAGACCAATCTTTCAGCTCTCGTTGAACTCTGGTCATCCTTTTCTTTTGTTTAGGAGTTTCTTGGGTCTGGATCGATGACTCAGAACTTTCATTCACTTTCTCAAAATCATTTTCTTTTTTAGAACTTAATGTTCTCTTCCTATTAAGATTAGAGGCGATAGCAATCGGTTTAACACATGGCTTTTCGCCCAAAACCTCTTCTAATTCTTTAAAAAATTTGCAAGTTTTAGGATCATTCCCAGACTTGTTATTGTGATCTTTTGTTTCCATGTATTTCCGTTTTAAATCTTTCCACTTGTTTTCGCATTGAATAGGAGTTTTTTTGTTCCATATAGGAGAGGCTTTTTTTAATTCTTGGCAGATTAGAGTCCACACATTTCGACTCTTCTTACTTTTGAAATTATTTTGGTGGTCTCGCCAAAGATAAATAAGATATTTAACTTCATTGTCATCTTTCCAACAGGCTGTAGATGAGACTGTAGAAATTACACACACATTGATATTAGTATTTCATGAGTATAAATTGACCTTATTACTATTGGATACAAAACACTCTCAACACTGATATAATAGAAAAACTCTAAGCACTGGTCGCTATGAGTGGCTGTATTTAATCATAATGTGGTCAATTAGGATTTTTCTTTTCCCTTTAAATATATCAAAATATTTCCTGCATGCTTTGTAAAAGATTAAAGGAAAACGTTTACCTGTTGACTCACTCTGTTCATTAGTGTTAGAATTATTTAAACTGCCGTTGTCGGGTATGGACGATTTCTCATCAGAAATAAATTGCAGGTTAAAGAACTTTAACGTCTCCTCACATACAGGTACAGTAAAAATGTTATCTACATGATAAAACAATTATTACATTTCTACAAATGATTATGTAACATATAATATGCAATCAATGTTGTAAAAAAATACTGTTTTAGATTTATACAAAAATCTTATTCTTATTCTATTCAAACCAAAGCATGCAAAAGAATTTCAAATTTTGCAATTATTGTTCATATGGTTTCAATGCTATATTTATATAACAACTAATATAATAATCTAAGTAAAATTGTAAAGGTTCTAATAAATTACATCAATAATAATAAAAAGAAAAAGCCTTTATGAGCCTTTATGAGTAATAACATTACGTATATAATGATATAATAATATAGCAAATAATAACTCACTTTGTATATCTTGTACTATTAAATTTCCGTCGGAAAAGAAAGGGACGTCTCCGTTCATCACGGCTTGATGTCGACCTTCTATTAAATTATACATTTTTCTTTCCTACTGAAAAGAAGGTTAAGAAGAATAACGAATAGAAAAGAGATTATAACCAAACAACACACTGGCTCACACCGACTCCTCTTCCTTTTTTCACGGGTGGTTTAGTGGCACTCGGTGTGGCTCTCTCGACGTTTCCGAACGATCTCACACTAGTGCACACCGAGTATTTCCGAACGGCTGGTGTGCATTAGTGGCACACTAGTGTGTATTCCCGAACGCAGCCTTGGTAGCGCGTGGTGTGGGTAGCCGTCGATAGCGGGATGATCCCGATTGACCACGTCTCGATTGGACACCACCAATCACAGCGACCGATGCTTAGGAGCTTTGTAGTCTCAAGCGCTGTGAATGGCTCGTGTCCAATTGAGCCGTGTCCAACTGGATGCCACCCGTCGATAGCTATAGCTATGACGCACCGCGCTCGGCCAAAGTCGGGCAGTACAAGATAGAAAGAGAATCCAGGCGATATAAGATAGAGGAGTACCGACTATCTCTAACTTATCCTCCGCGTACCGCGCTTATTCCAAGCGGCCGAAAAGGTTTTCTCGACAATTTCGGCCGCTCGGCAATCGGCGTG